AATTTTGTGGATAGGACACCAAAGACACAAGAAATAAGAGCAAAAACTAAACAAGTGGGATTACATCAAGCCTAAAAGTTCTGCATATCAAAGAAAACAATCAACAAAATTAAAAGACAGCCTAGAAATTGAGAGAAAATATTTGTAACCCATAAATCTGTTAACAGATTAATTTCCAAAATATATAAGGAATTCTCATAACCCAACAGCAAAAAAAATAATAACTCAAACATTAGCAAAGAACCTGAATGGATATTTCTCCAAAAAAAAACCCAAAAACTTGGCCAACAGATAAAAGAAAAGATTATCAATATTACTAATCATCAGATAAATGCAAATTAAAATCACAATGAGGCATCACCTCACACTTGTTAGGATGGATTTGTCAATAAGACAATATAATAAGTGTTTCTGAGGACGTGGAGATGAGACAACACTGGAATACTGCTGGTGGAAATGTAAATTGGAACAGCCATTATGGAACACAGTATGAGGGTTCCTTGAAAAATTAAAAAAAGAACTACCATATGGGTCAGCAATGCCTCTTCTGGGTATATACCCAAAGGAAATGAAAGTCGTAACTTGCAGATATATCTGCACTCACATGTTCATTGCAGCATTATTCACAATAACCACCATATTAAAGAAAGCTAATGTTCCTCAACGGACTAGATTTTTAAAAAGAATAATAAAATATGAATAATGTGAATATTATTAAAATAATGAATTATATTAATATAGTATATTATTGATATAATGATAATGTAATAATATGTTGGTTTTAATATATTAATAATGTAATGGTATATTAATTATATATTAATATAACAGGAATATAAGTAATAATTTTATATTGTTAAAATATACTTATAATAGTATGTCATATTATTCATATAAAAATGAATAATATTCATGTATACAAATATTATATCGATTTTAAAAGCAAGGAGATCCTGCCATTTGCAACAATGTGAATGAATTTGGAGGACATTATGTTCAGTGAAATAAGCCAGACTTAGAAAGAAAAATTCTGCATAACTGGTCTTATATGTGCAATCTAAAAAAATATAAATAAATAGCTGAAAATGTAGAAACAGAAAACAGAACAACAGTGGTTACCAGAGGCAGAGGGTGGGGGAAATGGAAAGATATGTGGATGAATAAATCTAAATATCTGAATAAAGTACACTGTGAAGACTATAGTTAATAATATTGTATTGTATACTGTAAATTTTCTGAGAGAGTAGGTTTTGGATCCTCTTATCAAAAAAAAATTTTAAGACAAAAAAGATAACTATGTGAGATGATAGATATGTTAAAGTGCATACCCGTAGTAATAGTTTCACCATGTACATGTATATCAAAACATTACATTGCATACCTTAAATGTATACAATAAAAAATAGACATATTGTGTAAAAATGAAAGTAAGAGAATCATTTTTTCAATTGAGGGAATCTTCCATTAACAAACATATCAAAATTAAGTTAGAAGAGCTACTTGAGATTTGATACCAAATTATATGCTTATACTACACTAGTCCCGGAAGGTTAAACATGTGACTTGAGTGATACAAACCCGGAGCCTCTATACAAGCCTTTGAGTTGAAACTTAGTTATTTGAGGCGGGGTTCTGACTATGTCAACAGAGTTGGAGTGGTTCTGAGGTCAGAGAAGCAGCAGCACCTGTGGAGGTATGCCCATGGCAGCGTAACATGGTGTCAGAGGCTGCGGCTCCACCTGTCCAGCAGATGTGCTCCTGAAAGTTATTCCTGGTCACCCACATCAGACACTGTAATTGTAACCCTTCCAAAGGTTCTTTAAACAACTTAATTGCATATAACAAATCCCTTCTACTGAAACTAGCTACAGATAATTCTGTGTCATCACCTTAGAACCATGGCTGATATCCCAAGCTGGTCTAAAATTCTCTATTTCAATTTATCACCAAGAATGGAAAGACATTAATTGCAGAAGCATTCTGGTCAACAAGGGTCCCTTGGAAAACTGCACTTACTCATAAGAGCCCATTCTTGGTACAGAATAGGCTTGGCACAGAATAAATTCTTGTGCTGGAAATGCAGTAGTGAACAAAACAGCCAATACCTCTACTTGCATAGATTTTACATTCTAACCGGGAAAAATGAACAAAAGGAAATAAATCCAATAATCGCATGGTGAAAATGTTGTAGATAAAATGTAACAGAGTAATGTGATAGAAGATAACTCAAAGAGATAGAGAATGGCTTTCCATGGATGGTTAAAGAAGACCTCTAAGGAGGAGAAGTTGGGCTGAAGACTGAGTGATGACAAGGACCTAGCCTTGTGAAGATCTAGAAGATGAGCATTTGGGGAATAAAGAAGAGCTAGTACAATGGCCCAAGAGGAAGTATGAGGCCACCGCAGCTGGAGCACACTGAACAAGTGAGAGAGCAGTGCTGGATCAGATCAAACAAATACATGTTTGAGTGGGAAACAGTTGTACAGACTCTGACGGGGTGTGAAAACATCAATTACAATTGGTTAAATATTTAGCTTTCTTTTTACCAATCAGCCTAGCTCAACTTCGCTAAGTGAATTTTTTATAATGGAAAAAAAGATAGAAATTAATTTTAAAACAATAGTCACACAGAGGCAAAATGGAGATCAACGTCATTGACGAAACCAAAAAGTCCATCAAAAAGAGCAAGTGCCAGGAGGCACACACAAAGGCTTCTGGGGAAAAGTGGTTGCTTGGATACATATATGCTTCATCCTGATTTTAATTTGAGATGAATTAATTATAATATGATAAATTTAGTTCATTATATTAGACTCAAAAGAGAAGAGAGTAAAGACAGGAGTTGCATCCCATCAGATAGAATTCCCCTTCCACATACATAAATTTCTCTCTACTGTTTTACTTATGACTTTCGGTTCATTGTTCCTCACCCTGGATAGGTTACACACTAAATTCTTGCACTTAAATCTTTTTCAACACCCAATCTGAAGTGGCCCCCACCCTTCTTTCTGAGTTGTTCTCTATCACACCACAGGTTTCAACTTCTTAAGCCCTTTTCACTCTGAACTTATCCTTCCTTAAAAATATGTTGATTTATTTATTGCCCATCTCCCTGACTAGAAAATTTTTCTTTATTCCAATGTGTGTCACTCTTATGGTATATACCATCGTGTCTAAAAGTGCAAATTCTAAAGCAAAACTACTTGAGTTCAAATCCTACCTCAGGTATTTTCTACCTCTCTGAGTAACTTAATTAAATTTTTCAGGCTTCATCTAATTGTGTTGGAAATCGGGAAAAATAGTATTTCATAAGGCTCTGCGGATTAACAAGACAATGACTTTCTAGCATGAACCACATTGTAGTAAATAATAGTAAACTTTATTAAAATTGATTATTATAACTTTTACTTGTCATAAGGAGTCTATTAAATTTTATGTCTTCTTTAGCCTGATTTTGATTTTGGAGATATTCAGACTTTTAAGATGAATTGTTAAGACTTAATCTCATCCATCCTGTAAGGTGAATTGTTCAGACCTAATCTCATCCATCCTGCATTAATTTTGGGAGGTTAACTCTCAGAAATCAGAAAGTGTCTCATGACTTCCTAATATAATACCTACACACAGTTGAATATCTATAAATCATGTAGTTTACAAAGCAGACAGAAATGAGACACTGATAATGAAGTAAAGGCAACCAACACAGTGACATTTATTAAGCATCCACTGAATGACAAGCACTATTACAGATACTTTGCACATAGTGTCATCTAAGGCTTAAAATAACCCTATGAAATAGGTACTACCATTTCTTTGTACATATAAACAAAGGTTAAAGTAAGATATGGACAGATGTGAAATACATACAACATTACATAAACTAGTAAGATAGAATTCCATCCTAGCTCTATTGACACCATGGTAAAATTATTCCACATCATCCAAAACTCTGCTGTTAACAGGACTTCCAGAGGCTAAATAATCACCCTACAAGTCAATCATGTTCTTGCCTGAAGTCCAAGGAAAAAGTTCTATGACATAGTATTAGTCATACGAGAAGGCAAGATGAGGACCAAGGCAAGACTTACAGAGATCCTGATCCAGACATAACGAACATCCTGCTAGTTCTGGAAGAGATATAAGACAAAACAGGCCCCAACTGGAAATTGGGTCAGCTCTAGTCAATATATTTGGCTTTTAAAAAACACTTTTAGGCTGACTCCTGTAATCCCAGCACTTTGGGAGGCCAAAGTGGGCAGGTCACTTGAGCCCAGGAGTTTGAGACTAGCCTAGGCAAGATGGTGAAACCTCCTCTCTACTAAAAATACAAAAATTAGTCAGCTGTGGTGGCTCACACCTGTAGGCTGAGGTGGGAAAATGGCTTGAGCCTGGGAAGTCAAGGCTGCAATAAGCTGAGATCATGCCACTGCACTCCAGCCTGGGTGACAGGGCAAGACCTTGTCTCAAAAAAACAAACAAAAAAATACTTTTATTATGTTTACCATTCATACTGTTACAAACACTTAACAAATACTAAGTCATTTTAAATGGCCCAACAAAATTTTGAGAGAGGTACTATCATTACCATTTTCACACATGAAGAAAATGTGAGAGTTAAGTAACTTTCCTAGATCACATTCAAACCCAGGAAACTGACTCTAGAATCTGTTCTTACCTCTGCACCATACTACCTTTTCTAAACAAATGCCTCACTTTATTTTGTCTATTCATATTCTACTTGCCTGCTTTGTTGACCTCAGATTTATAATAAAGTCACACTTTCGTCCTTGAAACAGGGTTTGTCATGATAAAATTAGACCGACAAATGGATCAGCCTCAAGGACTAGAAGACAAAGGGCCAAAGGAGATCAGAAGACCAGGAGGAGAGAGATACAATAATGACCACATTAGGAGGCACTCCAGCCCCCAAAAATCCTACAGCCCCCAATCAGTTCAGAGTATTATATATCACAGCAGTAACAGAGAAATTACATATTAACCCTAAGCATCTTCATAGCATTTTTCACCTCTGCATTTCTAAGGGTGTAGATTAAAGGGTTTAACATAGGAGTTATCATGGTATAAAACACAGCTACTGCTTTGTCAATGGAGAAGGTGGTCGCTGGACGTAGATACACAAATATGCAGGGTACAAAGAACAAGATGACTACCGTGATATGAGACACACAGGTGGAGAGGGCTTTGCGCCTCCCCTCCAAGCTGTGAGATTTCAGGGTATATAAGATGACCACATAAGAGACAATCAAGAGGAGAAAGTTTAACAGGCAGACAAACCCACTGTTGGCAGCAACAAAGAGACCAAGGGTATGAGTGTCCATGCAGACGAGTTTCAACAGAGGGATCAAGTCACACATGAAGTGGTCTATGACATTGGGGCCACAGAAGGGCAGCCAGATTGTGAAGAGGATCTGAATTGTTGCATGAACAAAGCCTCCAATCCAGACTGCTCCCACAAGGATTCTACACAGCTGTTGGTTCATGATGGTCATGTAGTACAGGGGTTTACAGATGGCCACATAGCGGTCATAGGCCATCACCGTGAGAAGCATAACCTCAGCAGAACCAAAAAGATGCCCAGCAAAGACTTGAGTCATGCACCCCCTAAAAGAAATGGATTTTTTCACAGAAAGAGTATCAGCTAGCATTTTTGGGGTCATGCATGAAGAACAGCAGCCATCCATAAGGGATAAGTAAAACAGGAAAAAGTACATAGGGGATGCCAGGGACCTGCTGGTGCTAATGGTAAGGATGATGAGCAGGTTGCCTGCCAAGGTGACCAAGTAGACAATCAAAAACACAACAAATGAAAGTTTCTGAAGCTCCACATTTCGATTCAAGCCCAGGAGAATAAACTCAGTCACATTATTCATCTTCATCAATTGTGTCCAGGTGACAGGTGACTGCTCTGAAAAATAAGTCATATTCATCCTCAATAATAAGACTTTTACTTAGTGAATATATTCTTTGCTGTCTTGTTTTTCTGCCTTTATAAGAAGTAAAAACTAACACAAAACCATGTCAATTTTTTTATATTTGTCATTTGACAATGTATTAATAGTATGTATTTTGTTCTTTATAATTTTCTGCATTTTAATATCTACAGTAAAAGTGTGTAATTTTTACAATCAGAAAATAAAAATAACAAACATCAAGTTTCAAGAGCCATTCCACAATACGGCCATATGTGTAACACATTTACAGATACACCAAGATGAATATACTTCACCTGAAAACAGGTACACACACTTACCAGAGAAAATTCCAACTTGCTCTGCTAATTTTAAGTCATACAAAATGACCAAAGCACATAGAGAGATTCTTTCTTTCATGAGCCATCCCTTTTTCCATTTTGCCTATCTGGAAGCTTCCTGATGTTCTTGAGGCTGAAAATGGTGCTGCTATGCTTGTCCAGCCTCAGAGGCCATGTTGAATGGCCATTACAGTACATGCCACGTATGGTCATCTCTCTGTGTTCAATACTATGGGTTCTTGGAGCAAAAGTCTTGCTGTACTACAAATTAGTCATATTAATTTTTGTATCCCCAGTGCTAGCCAAAACATAAACACTCATAAAGCATTAACTGAGAGAAAAAGAAGGAAAAAAAATAGAAGCAAAAGAAAAAAAGTGCAGGAGAGAAAAAGGAGAAGGAAAAATTAGAAATGTACAAAAGACCAAAGAAAGAGGAATGGACACGAAATGCAAAGACATTGTTTACAGTCCTGAATCTAACCACTTTTAACTAAGTAACATTAATGGGTTTTATGTCTCTGTGCTCCAGTGTTTTTCATCTGCTAAAAAGGAGGATTAAATATACCTTTTAGGATTGTTGTGAAAATTAAAACAATTTTAAACTTACTATCATTGTTACTATTACTATCATATGATTTTATTGTTTCCTGGAAGTATCACTGAAGAAAACTTTAAAATTTGTTTCTGAACATCTCCAAAAGTCAAAGATTCTGAAAACTTAAGCTAATCAATTGAAGACAAGAATAAATACTTTTAAAAGTCATCAAATTAAAAAAGAAAAATATAGCAAGCTATTAAAAGAATATTTAATAAGATAATTTCATAATTATTTAGTTTCCTGCTTGTTTATAGGATTTGTTACCTATTTTTTCATTAATTAGTTAAATCCATTTTTCAATACAGAGAAAACTTACTTCTTCCAAAATTGACTCTTATGACTGAGTATGAGGATTTCCAGGAAATATTAAACCCATTTCACTATTAAAATAAATGCTTTGAGACTGCATTTTCATATCTACAAGGCTAACCAGTATTAGGCATTATAAAGCATTTATAATGCTTTATTTAAAAAAGGCATGGGGAGAGGAAGTAAGAGGAAGAGGGAGAAGGGAAGAAGAAAAGGGAGAAGGAAACAGAGACAGAAACAGAGATGGAGAAGAAGAAAGAAGAGGAAGAAGAGAGATGAAGAAGGAATAGGATGAGGAGAAAAGGTGAAACAGAAAAAAGGGGAAAGAACAAAATGAAAGAGGAGAAGCTGTGCACTCATGCCTGTAATCCCAACACTTTGGGAGGCCGAGGCAGGTGGATCAGTTGAGATCAGGAGTTTGAGACCAGCCTGACCAACATGGTGAAACCCTGTCCCTACTAAAAATACAGAAATTAGCTGGGCATGGTGGCACACGCCTGTAAATCCAGCTACTCAGGAGGCTGAGGCAGGAGAATCTCTTGAAACCAGGAGGCAGAGGTTGCAGTGAGCTGAGATCATGCCACTGTGCTTCAGCCTGGGTGACAGAGCAAGACTCCGTCTCAAAAAAAAAAAAAAAAAAAAAAAGAAAAGAAAAAAGAAAGAAGAGAAAGATGGACATACACACAATCACCTAAGAAAGATTGTTTTTTGAATAGGTATGTTGTAACATTTCAAACAAGTGCTGTACTTGAAATCTAAAATTTTAGCAAACTTACTTGCTGATTGTGGCCCTTAGGATCAACAAGGGCCTGCCTACAATTATATAAGTCACAAGTTGTTCTTACATACAAACTCGTCAGGAAAAGTTTGCATAGCTACTATTAAGGGCTATAAACTATTGACTTGTCATCAATTAATTTTTTGCAAACTCAACAATACTTAAACTCAATCAGGGTTTTCTTCAATCTATTGTGTGTGCAATTAGTGGTCATGTTAATTTACCATAAATTTACTGTAAATTTGTATTTAAATAAATTAAAATGTTTCCAGAAAAAAAAAAAAAAAACCTGAAGTAAAATTTAAAAGGAAAAAAATTGTGCTTCTCCTACACATCAATTCTACGTGTGTCCAGGACTTCTCACCCTGGCGTGAACTTGTTTGGATAATAAATTATCACAGATAGTAAATACATTCATGTTGCATTTAAATGGAATTTGGATTCTGGAAAGAGTGGGATGATTGCAGTAACTCCTGCCCCTTTGCATTTCTATGGGACTCACAGAAATCTTAGTGGCATCATAATTTTTACATAGAATTTTAGCTGATAGCCTTAGACTGCCATTTTTAAAGCTAGAAAAATGAATCCAATTACCAAGACAGCAGTTGATTAAAAGTCCCCTGGATGAGAAAATCTCCTGGATGAGAAAGCCAATTCTTCCAAGTATTTTTTCAGAGCATTAATGCTCAGTGCTGAGCCACACAGTTTATTCCTTGAGATTCAGCCTTCCTTCTCCCCAAATTTCCGTAGAACCCATCTCAAGACCCAGAGTACGTCAGGGAGAGGCAATGACTTTGTGATTAGCTCTGCCCAGAAATCTTCACAGCTGCTACCGCCTCAACTGCCTTCAGTTCTCACAATATAGAGACACTAGTGTCATTCAAGTGGGAAACTCCCATCTGTGCTGTTTACTCAAGGGAAGAGCAATTAATTTCAGTGGCCTTTGCCAAAATAGCAACTACACACTTATCCCTTCTTTCAACTATACTTCTTGCCAGTCAAACATTTCTGACAAGGGTTAGAATTCATCTAAGATTATCATCTGACTTCATTCAGAACACGAATGCTTTCTTTTTTTTTTTTCAACAAATGTTCATTCAAAATCAAAAATGTACAAGGCACAATGTTGTTCATTAATAATGACAGTAACCGATTCTTGAGTGCTAAATACCAACCCCTATATTAGACACATTATATGGGGTACCCTTTGTGATGGGTACTATTATTATTCCTATTTTACATATGAGGAAATTGAGGCAATATGAGTTTAAGTAAAAATACAAGAGCAAAAAGAATAGGTGACACAACTGATGTTTAAATTAAATGTGTATATCTCAGCAACCCAGAAATTGTGTCTGTCCTCACAATGCAAGAATATAGCTGTTTAAAAAAAAAAAAAAGAATGGTAACAACTATCAAAAAGGTCACAGCACTGTACATCTGTGTAATGGGGATATGGCTTAAACTGGGGTGAGGTGGAGTAATCAAAGATTTTCTTCAGGAAGTAATATTGAATTTGAAACAAAAACTACTGTTGAAAGCTTACATTATATAGGAAAGTAAGGGCTTTTGATGGCTAATACATTTAAGAATTAAGCTCGACTATATCATTTAAACAAGGAGCAGGGAATCTATGTGAGTCCATTGACACTGTAGTTCATGCATTTGTAGTTCCACCCTGTGTTAAGCTAAATCTAATCAATTGCAGTTTTCCCAAGGCAGCTTCAAGTGCACAAGAGTGACTTCATTGTTACTCTCAATTAACTGGAAATTACATGGGTAGAAAAGTTAAAATGCATGAAGCCAGTAAAAAAAAACAGTTACAACTGATCCGTCTACAGATAAGCAAAGACAGCTCAGTAGAGAGCACACAGACATTGAATAAACATAGATCTTAACTCAACTGAGCCATAAATACTCAGCAGCACATCAAAAAGCTTACCTACCATGTTCAAGTAGGCTTCATCCTTGGGAAGCAAGGTTGGTTTAACATACACAAATAAATATAATTACAAAAACAGAACCAAAGAAAAAAAATCACATGATAATCTCAATATATGCAGGAAAGGCCTTCAATAAAATTCAACACCAATTTATACTAACAACTCCCAATAAACTAGGTAGTGAAGCAACATACTTCAAAATAATAAGAGCCATATGTGACAAACCCACAGCCAACATCATACTGAATGGGCAAATGCTGGAAGCACTCCCATAGAAAACCAGCACAAGACAAGGATGCCCTCTCTCACCACCCCTATTCAACATAGTATCGGATGTTCTAGCAAGGGCAATCATGTAGGTGATTAATCAAGGTGGTGGGAGAAGCTATAGGGAAAGATGCAAACCTTCTTGAAAGGTCATAAGGTTTTGCAAAGCTTCAGGGGAGAATAAGATGAAGGCAGCTGTTCTCTTACCCTGAGATAAAGGGTAAGGATTAGGTACAAGGGAATGTATGGGAGTTTATCTAAATAGGCTTGTTTACTTATGTTGGCCAGAAACCCACATTTGATCATCTGTGTATGAGACTGCTCCCTGCAAGGGGGGATGATAATGTTAATTACCCACAGATTGTGTTGGCTCTAGACTTTTGGCATTATGTCTGAATAAAAGCCAGCAGCTCCAACTTACCAAAGCTGCTCACTCTTCGGCAGTCCCCTACCCACTCTTTCACTGGATACTTGTATTGGAGTACTCCTTGCATACATCACTCAGCCAGGGTCTGCAGGACAGACCTGGCACAATCAGGCATGAGAAAGAAATAAAGGACATTCAAATAGGAAGACAGGAAGTCAAACTATGCTTGTTTGCAGATAACATAGTCCTATATCTAGAAAAATCTCATCATTTCAGTCTAAAAGCACACCCAGTAATGGGATTGCTGTGTAAACAACATACACAAATCAATAAGCTGATAAATAACTTCAGCAAAGTCTCA